TATGTGACAATCATGACTCTTTAATCCTGTCAACTTGCATTCGTTCAAATCAACACATCTCCCGATGTTCGAAGCATATCCATCGAAACCGCATGATTTCAACCATTGACAAACGACTCGTCTCTGCTCCTTATCCAATGTATAAACCGCTTTTGGTTTTGGTCCCCGCTGCTTGCATCCACATCTAATGTTGGCCGATCACAAATATCTCTCATATCTTTTCTTGCATTCAAGTTGTCTTTTGTTTTTCCCGTGACATCCATCACAGTATTTATGACATTGTCGAAAACATTCTTTTCAATGTACATAACGTCAAGATTATGATGAATAAGATGAGCTTTCCAATATGGTAGATCCCAAAATATACTGCGTTTAGTCCACTTATGTGCACTTCCGTACGCAATAGTTGTGCCATGAGGGTTTTCAACAACAGTTGGAAAGTCATGCACTCGCTCCCATATTTGATCACCAGTCAACCTCAATGGTGGAGGAGTTCTTTCAATCCTATTCTTGATGAACTCTTTTTTATTCCTTCTGAATGTATGATTCATCGGCAAAAATTGTCTGTGACAGTCAAAATAGCAAGGCTTCTTACCATGTCTTAATCTGAATGACTTCGACATCTCCAAACATATCGGACATCCTAAGATCCCAGCTGTACTCCATCCAGATAACATTCCATAAGCTGGAAAGTCATTTATCGTCCAAAGAAGAGCAGCCTTCATTACAAATGTTTGATTAGTAGAAACATCATACGTAACGACACCTTCATTCCATAGCCGTTGTAACTCTTCAATCAATGGTTGCATATAAACATCTATCAACTTTTTCGGATTTTACGGCCCGGTCACGATCAATGTCAAAAACATATAAGATGTCTTCATGCACATACCGGGTGGAAGATTATACGGAGTTAAGATAACTGGCCAACATGAATAACTTTTCCCTGATTTTCCAAATGGGGCAAATCCATCAGCACAGAGACCTAACCTAATATTTCGAGGCTCTATCGCAAATTCAGGGTATGTTCTATCAAAATGTTTCCATGCCTCTGCATCTGAAGGATGACACATTAGACCCTCTTCTGTTTCATGATTTGCATGCCAAGTCATGTGTTCAACAGTGGCTTGAGACGCATAAAGCCTTTGTAATCTGGGGATTAAGGGCAGATAAAACATTTGCTTGCATGGTCTACGCTTCTGATTACGACCTTGCCTCCTGTTCCTGTTAATCTTGTACCTAGGTTGGCTACAGAATTTGCAAGATTCTGCATTTTCGTCATCTCTCCAATATAACATACAATCCCTACTACATACATCAATCCTTTCAACTGGAAGACCTAAGTTATCCACTAACTTCTTCATATCGTAAAAATCACTTGGCATTATGTTATCAGGAGGCATTGTTTCTCGCATTACTTCAACAAAAGAGTTAAAGCAATTCTCAGACACATTATGCTCTGCCTTGATATTTAACAATCTTCTTTGTCGATATATCGAGTATGATTGTCACAACCCGCCCATAAAGGTTCATCTCTGCTTTCAACACTTCCCGGGCGATTAGATGGAAACGTTTTATTACACACATTCTCATCAAAACCTGTTACTCCTATCTCTTCAAATTGTTCAAGTCTTGGAGTAAAACTAGTACTTGCATGGTTTGGATCCGAATTATGACCAGCTGCATCAATCACCATCCTCTGGTATGGGTTCATTTGGTCATAATAGCTACATTCTTCCCTAACTGAAAATTGGTCACTTATTCGATATCCTTCATCAGATATAAATGGTTCACCATGACAAGTCCAATTATAGTAGTTTGGAATAAACCCAAATCTACAAAGATGTTCTCTAACTGTATCACATACATGAAATTTACCATTACTGCACTTTCTACACGGACACCTTAACTTATTTCCATCCATCAACTCATATTTACTACTAGCAAAGTCCAAAAATAGTTCCAACCCAGTACGAAACTCATCAGTCAATCCTCGACGTCCAGGTAAGTTCTTATTATACATCCAAGCCCTGTCTCTTTGCATTGTCTATATAAAAATAACAAAATCTCTTAAAATATTAATGCCAAAAAATTTTCGATATTAAAACCATAAAATTCTAAAAAGTAAAATTTTATTTTTGCCTAAACAATTATTTTGAAATTGAAAAAATTAAAACAATTGACTTACCCAAGTATTTGACTGAAATCTTTGTAGTACAAAGTGCTCAATTTGATGAGAATTGCAACGTTCACTTCATCCGCGAGACTTTCAAACGAATACGTACCTACAAAAAAAATTGACTTCAGATTTTATTTTTTTATAATAATTTTTTTTCCCCAATTTTTTTTTAATAATTTTTTTTTCGAATTTTTTTCCCAAATTTTTTTTCCTTCATTTTTTTCTCCGGTCGCCGGTCCGGCGACCGGCCGGCGAGTTGGACCTCGCCGGCCATGGCCAGATCTGGACCTCGCCGGCCAGATCTGGACCTCGCGGCGAGGTCCAGCGGCCGCCGCTCGACCTCCTCGCGGCGAGGTCCAGCGGCGGCCATGGCCGCTCGACCTCGCGCCGCCGATCCGGGCGGCGAGGTCGAGCTTGGGCCTTGGCGCCCGGATCTCGGGCGGCGAGGTCGAGCTTGGGCCTCGCCATGGCCGCCGCCGAACCTCGCGGCGAGGTCGAGCGGCGGCCATCGCCGCTCGACCGCCATGGACCTCGCCGCGAGGTTCAACGGCGGCCATGGCGAGGCCCAAGCTCGACCTCGCCGCCCGATCCGGGCGGCGAGGTCGAGCGGCCATGGCCGCCGGCCGGACCTCGCGGCGAGGTCGAGCGGCCATGGCCGCCGCTGACCTCGCCGCGAGGTCCAGCGCCGGCCCCATGGCGAGGCCGCTCGGCCTCGCCCGGATCTGGGCGAGGTCCAGCGGCCCCGCCCATGGCCGGCGAGCCTCGCCGGTCGCCGGTTGCCGGACCGGCGACTGGCGACGAAGTCAGAAAAAAAAAGAGAAAAAAAAACTCAATAAAATAACAAAAATTTGAAAATAGTTTTGCCGAAATTAATCACAACACTTACCAGTAGAAAAGGTTCACCGAGATAGATTTTTGCGCGTGCGAAGAGATTTATCGAGAGGAAGGGATAACAGCGAATAGGGAGAGGAAGGGAGAACAGCTAATAGGGATAAGAGGAATTAGCAGAGAGAGAGAAATTGGGTCTACAAGTAGAGAAGAATCAGCGACGAATAACAATTCGTCGCTAATTCCGTCGCAAAATAACCACGAATTTTTTTTCGTGGTAAATTTCGTCGCAAATTAGCGACGACATTTATTTTTCGTCGCAAATTTGAAACGGAAAAACATTCGTCGGAAATTTCGTCGCAAATTAGCCACGAATTTTTTTTCGTGGCAAATTCCGTCGCAAATAAGCGACGAATATTTTTTCGTGGCAAATTCCGTCGCAAATTAGCCACGAATTATTTTTCGTGGGAAATTCCGTCGCAAATTTTCCACGAATTTTTTTTCGTGGTAAAATTCGTCGCAAATTTGCGACGATTTTTTTTCCGTGGCAGATTCCGTCGCAAATTAGCCACGAATTTTTTTCCATCGCAAAATTCGTCGGAAATTTGCGACGAATTATTTTTCGTGGCTAATTTGCGACGGAAAATATATTCGTCGCAAATTGCGTCGCAATTAGCCACGAAAAATAATTCGTCGCAAATTTCCGTGGCTAAACCCTTGTTTTTTTGTAGTGTCTCTTTCTCTCTCTCTCTCCCTCTCTCTTTCTCTCAGACTTTTACTCAGTCTCTCTGCAGGATGTGAAAGTCAAGTCTCACACCTGAAACTAAACATCTCATCCCACCCAATTCCCTTACCACTAGGCCGTGTGTCCAGTGGATAACATTAGAAGTTCTTCTAATGTTGGTGGTTTAAGCAGCTAGGAGCTTTGTGTTGGTAAAATTGTCGATTTAAATTCTTGGTAAACATCTATTTTTATTTATTTTCTGAGCTCCAAATTAGCATTTGGATGACATTGTTTTGCTCTAGCCCTTTGCTGTTCTCATTCTCAATCTCCAGTTTGTTTGATTAAAAGTAGGGATTAGATGTGCCATCAAGACTCATGTGCATATATCTGCTGAAGAGGAACTTTGCTGTTGAAGAGTGTCTCTCAATCTTTTGCAAGCCTGTGGAGCTCTACCACATTCTTCAGCACCGTGCTGTCAAAAATGTGGTGGAGCCGATTGACTTGTACTCGGTTGCTTAGATGCATCGCACGATGTCAGTATTAAATACGCCGTCTTATGGCCACACTGGATATATGAAAACCTAGTTATATTTTATAGCAATGGAATGGTCTTCCCTGTTGAGCCAAGATGGACACCAGGGGATCAACACGTTACGATCCTCGGTATTTTTCAAATTGGAATTGCCCCATGGAGTGACCGCCGCCACTCCCTCCCTCCTCTTCAAGACATTAATGAGAAATCCAGAGACAGATTGTATTCAATGCAACTCTCCTAAATTAGCAACTTTACAAGGCCCACCCACGTACGTCCAAACCCTAATTTCAGTGGAGGCCATGAAATCATCGTTCTTCGCCCACTCGGTTACGTCAATAGTAAATACTACATTCGAGTATATAAAATGAATGGAAATAAAAAACAGTTGAGGTCGGGCCTTTGCTTCAATATGGAGTCCACATAAAGCTTCCTTTTTCGCAGTTTTAAAACTCCAAAAAGTTGGACTCTGTCCGCCAGTGCTTTCGGGTCCCCGTGCAGAGAACCAGCAACTCTCCTGCTGTCCATCTCCTAGAGAAGCAAAGACGCATTCAATCAAAAGGTTGTAAGGGAGCCGAGCAGGGCTAAACATGCAAATCAAACCCCCCCCCCCCCCCAAAAGAATTGCTATAGAAGGAGAGCCCCTCCATGTGGGTCGACCCCACTGCCAGTCCTTCTCTTCTGCTCCCAACCCATTTCGGCTTCTCTCGTGTTGTTCTTGGTTTTGCATGAATATCATGGGGGCTAATGCAAGCTCAAGCGTGTGGAAGACTGGCGAGTCGGCTCAAGAGCAGGGTCTTGAATACGTGCCCCATGCTTACCATGTTCCAGTTAGCGGTCGCCCTAGCTTATTTCCCAATACAGCCGATGTGCCTCTCATTGATCTAGGTGGGCTGTGGAAGGATCCTGTGCGACGGTCTGTGGTCATCAAGGACATTGGAAACGCTTGTCATCGCTTCGGCTTCTTTCAGGTAAGCATGGATGTATAAGTCTAATATAGATTATTAAATATACACGCGCTATTGGCGTCGCATTATGATTTTGCTCCATACTAGAACGTGCTTTCCAATTGTCCTGACCATTAAATTACCACAATTGCGACATATGCTTCATGTGAAAACAGATTGTGAACCACGGAATTTGCTTAACCGTGATGTACAAAGCCCTCCATGCAGCGTCTAGCTTTTTCGACTTGCCAACCGAAGAGAAGATGAAGTACATGTCGAATGACGTGCACAAGCCGGTGAGATATGCGACGAGTTTGAAGGATGGGAGCGACAAAATACAGTTCTGGAGGGTCTTCCTCAAGCATTATGCACATCCACTGGAACACTGGATGGGTCATTGGCCGGAGAATCCCCCTCATTATCGGTACACTCTCTTTTAACTATTGTTTGATGAATGTGAATGTATGTGGTGGGTGCGTATGAAAATGACCGGGGTCATACATTGGGACCGACCAATTCACTAAACCATCGAACCATATACGCACTCACACTCGCAGCCGCAATCTTAAAGCCAACCATTTAGCATAACGTCAGAGTTGAAGCAAAGCAGAGTAATGAGGAGTGAGTAGTGGTCCAACTTGGCGAGGTCAAAACTTTTTGAAATAATAACCCTATTGACCTCATATAACATTGAGGTGCATGAAGCCCGACACTAGATTGTAGTTAGAATGCATGCATTTACGCATGCCCTGCCCTCATCAGTTCCTGAGCTGGTAGTGGACAGTTGAAGGCATTCAGGACATACCGATCAAGACTAGTATAATGCAACGTTCCATGTATTTTGAGCCTTCGAGTCGAGTCAACAGGCCGCAACTCTAAGCATATCTCAATCTCATATGGTTTCTCATGATTGTATTAGGGAGAAGATGGGCAAATTCTGTGCCCAAGTGAGGAAAGTGGCGGTGGACTTGATGGAGGCCATCACGGAGGGCTTGGGACTAGGACCCTCGTATCTGACCTCTAAAACGGAAGCGGGGATGCACGTGATGGCGGTCAACTGCTACCCGCCATGCCCGAATCCGGAGATGGCACTAGGACTACAGCCCCACTCTGACTACACTTGCTTGACCATTGTTCTTCATAGCTCCCCTAGACTTCAGATCATGGACCCCGAAGACCGCACCTGGAAGTCGGTCCCTAAAATCCCTGGTGCCTTACAAGTCCATGTAGGTGACCATCTCGAGGCCCTGAGCAACAGCCTGTACAAAAGCGTCGTCCACAGAGCGGTCCTCAATTCTGAGAGGACCCGGTTTTCCATTGCTAGCTTACATAGTCTCGGCATGGATGAGATGGTGGAACCTGCTGAGGAACTGGTGGGCGCGCAAGGGAAGAAGTACCGGGGAAGTAGCTTCAGGGATTTTCTGAACTTTCTAGCTACCAATGACATTGGAGAGGGCAACAGCTTTATCAGTACTCTCAAGATCAATCAATAGTTGCTAGATCCTGAACTTTGTTTTCTTTGCCCAGCTTCTGTATCTGTAATGCATTCGCAAATGCTTGTAGCCCCTCCATCCAAAAGAGTCCGTCTTCTTTTCTTTCTTTTCACAAAAAGCATATGAATACGAGGTGTCGCCATTTTGCTCGTTACCTTTTTACTTTAAACCTTTCTTGTGTCCAAATTGTAGGAAATTTCAATTTTTACACCGAAAGAAGTGGTTAGTGAATCAAAGAATTAATCCACGCACCATAATGTCGTGGTTATTTGAAAGCTTAGTTTGGATTGTGTCATGACATGACAATCTCTTTTGCTAGGAAAAAATGGACAACAGAGGATTTTAACACAATGACAATAGCAATAATAAAATCAATAATAGTAATTTAATTTTGGCCCAAAGAATAAAATTCTTAAACTAATGGAAGATAGTGTATTCTAAAGTCTAATTTGCATAAAGTAATAGGAATAATATCCACGACATGTGATCTTCGTGAGCTGATGATAGCATTGAATCGTGTCAACACAAGGAGCTGCATACAAACTTAACCTTTAATGGATACACGTGTACTTAGAGTTGGCTAATGATTACGTAATTGTAAATCCTGGGCATGTTAACGATTTAACAGGGGAGAGTAGAGAAAAGAAACATGTGTCGATGAGCTGGCAGAAGATCCAACAGTTCGTGTGCGATGCCAAGACAAAGTCATAGGTTGGATCTAACCAGCTTTTACGGGCCAGAGATCAGGACAACCTCGTAACGAGCAAGAAGAAACCAAGTATCCCGAATCTTGAAACAAACCATTTCACTGAAACTCACTCGGCAGTTTCACCTCTACATCCACGCAGTTGAGCTTTCATTTCCACGAAGATGTACAGGTCGTCGAGCTGGAACAGAGTGACGGACGATGACTACATGCATGCGCCGCCGATGGCGTCGACGATCCTGAGGATGGGATCGTTCCAGGGCGACGAGCTGCCCGCTTACGACCCGGTGTCGGAGATGACGAGGAAGGAGAAAACAAGGAACAAGCTCGCCGAGAACGGCGTCCACATAATACCTATCGTATTGCTGGTGTGCGCGGCCATTCTCTGGTTCTTTTCCAATCCTGGTACAATAAAACTACGAACTTCACACGCCCACTGAAGCAGTAAAGTTTAGCTTGACAGTTCCCTTCTTTGTTTTTCTTTGTGTGTGTGTGTGTGTGTTGGGCAGAAGCAGTGAATGTGGGAAGTAGAGGGGACTCGATAGCGGCAAGCATCGAAGGGTTGACGATCGAAGGAGACATCGACGCGGAGATTGATGGGACCCAATCTGGGCTTTTGCCATTGCTCGATCTGGGTGATGAAGACTCGTCGACCTCGACCACGACTTCGACCTCAAGGCGTGCACAAGATCGCGTTCACCACCGCGACAAGCGTTCCAGGAAATCCCACCACTGAGTCATGGGTCGTGTTCCCCTAGAATTGTTGCAAAGGTTCAGTTCGGCGGTAATGGTATAATAAAGTCTGGTTCAAGAAGAAGTCGTGTTAAATCGTGCAAAAGTGCTGGTGTTGATGTTGCGATGTCTGTGTGGACGTGAGTTTGTACATTTTATGGAAGAGAGATCCTCGCTATTCGTACGATTGGGACTTGTTTGAACATGGTCTTAATCCATAGAGATAGTGATGGTTAAACTATAAGCCTTAACAAGGTTGATGAATTTAAAGCAATTTTCTTTCTCAATTTGACTCGATGGTTAGAGATAGAGTTTTCCTTTCGCGATCTGATCCCGCACGGTCTGCTAATAAAGACTAGTGATTATCTTGCTTGTACCTCTTAAGGAAAGGGATCTAAATGCACGGGAGAGCTCTTAAAGAAAACCTAATTCGAAATCACTACTCGCAACGGCAAATATCATAGCACTTACTGTTATAGCATTCGGACGTCCTTATGATAGGAGCCGTAATTAATTCGACAAGATAGGAATGGAGTTGCACGTGGAATCACTTCAATTGGTCTTCAATAATAAGATAATTCGGTTAGGATGTCGTCTTCAAGACTGTAACGGCATTCTCTTGTTTGAAAATCAAATTTCTACTTGTTTCGAGTTTTTACAAAATACACACTCTGTGATATTCATTTGTTACACAATCCAGCAGTTCTAATTTGATAGATTGTCAAACTATCCAAATCAATGGTGATGGACGTGGATTGTGTATAAAAGATTATGCATAGAACATTAATCCCATTCTTTAAAAGGTTCGAGAGAAAAGGAGTCATCTCGAACAACATAGTATAGTGTAAGAACACAGCCACACAGGTTCGTTTAAAATCGTGGGCCAAAATAGGAGTACAATGACGGGCCAAAGCCCAGTATTGTGTGGGCCATCCGCGATACGGCGGCGGTACGGCCCACTCGCCACCCACCGCGGCGTCTCTTCCTTCCCCGCTCCGAGTCCCCAAATTCCAGCTGAAACAGAGGCGCAAAGACTGCTCCTTTTTTCGTGCTTTCTTTTTCTTATTATTCTTATACACGGGGTGGCTGCTGTCTTCTCGCGGATTCGTCCGAGCTCCGTCACTTCGCCGAGCTCTTCACGCTAAGGCAAATTCCGCTGAATTTCTTGCATTGGAAGCCGACGCCCGAGCTCAATTTCGTGAGGAGGAAACCTCGCGCGGCGTCACACACTGGATGCAAAGATAGGCTTTTGGCTTCCAGCGGTCTCCGGGCGGCAAGTGCAAGGGCAACCGCTAGGTAAGCCGGATATAGCAATTTGCCCCTCTCGCGATTTGAGCTTGGGCAGATTCGGGATCAAATTTGCTATGGAACAGTAGGATGTCGGAGTTTCGGTTCCTGCCCAAATCCCCGAAAGAAACTTTGTTCTTTAGGACTTAGCAGGTGACTGGGAGCGTTTGCTGATGTTGTGGCTGTCCCGAGTGCAGGTTAATGGATTAAGCTATGAGGAGCGTATGCGTTGGAACTTCGTAGCTGGATAATGCCAGGCATCCCTTTAGCGGCTCGTCAAACTTCGTATGCTTCTCTTCGTTCACCGTCATTTGTCTGTATATTTCGGTTTGGTTTGGTTGCATTCGTGTGTTCGCGGTTTAAGCAGCTAGGAACTCTATGTTGGTAAAAATGTGATCTTAAATTCTGGGTCGTCCACTTCTCTTTAGCATTTGAATGACATCGTTTGTCTCTAGCCCTTTGCTGTTCTCATTCTTGAGCTCCGGTTGTTTTAATTAAAAGTGCAGCTTATTTGTCACGGTTAAGGCTTTCGAGCCCGAGCCATCTTTGCTTTTTACGCCTCGCTCCCTTCAACAAATTTTTACGGTAGTATCTGCATTCTTCCTGAAGAAAGGCCATCTTGGGCGTTGCAGATATTCGAGAAGTACAGATCAGATGTGCCGTCAAGACTCTGAGGCACATTTATCTGCGGAAGAGGAACTTGCTGCTGAAGAGAGTCTCTCGATCTATTGCAAGCCTGTGGAGCTCTACAACATTCTTCAGCGCCGTGCTGTCAGAAATGTAATGGAGCCGATTGACTTGTACCTAGTTGGTTAGATGTATCATGTTCTGTTAATATTAAATAGGCTGTCTAAATGCCACACTAGATATGGGATATCTAATTAAATTTTATAGCAATGATATGCTTTTGTCTGCTGAGCCAAGATGGATACCGAACATGTTGGGGATCAACACGTTACAATCCTAAGGATATTTTTCAAGTTGGAATTGCCCTAAGGAGTGGCCGCCGCCACCTCCCTCCCTCCTTCTTCAAAACATTCACGACTCAGATAGATTGTTTTCAAACTTTCACCCATTGTTCTTTGAAATTTCCATACTTGCTCCCTAGCTTCCATGCTGGGTCTACCATTGTCCCAAGGAAGTGTAGTTTCGACCAATGCATCATAGAGTCTTGGTGTATACGTTTGGGTTCTTAACAGTGCCCTTGGGGTACATGCTTTATTAATATATCTGACCAGACTTTTTCTTCTTCCAAAGCCACTGTTTCTTCAGAGATGTCTGAGCTACAAGATACAGGTGAAACACAGAAGGAGGTAAGACCTCTTACAGGTTTTTGGCAGTGGCAGATCATTTTTGTTTACCTCTATATTGAAATTCCATATGTCTACTGTTTGTTGAATAAGCGGCATATGATATCAAGAAGTGCTTAGGTTCTAAGACTTCATGTTAGGCACTTAGTCTTAGAGCAGCAATTTCAGCTATACACATTCAATGCAAGAAAAAGAAGCTATTTGATGCATGCCCATTTATCATGGACATTTGATGGACGACTTAATTCATCCCTGGTCTTCAATCACAAGAAACATCTAATTTTTTATTTATTCGGGGACTATTATGTAATATAAAAAAATATACGCTAACTAATGGTGAGCTTGAATCCCTCCCTCCCTCCCTCCCTCTCTCTCTCTCTCTCTCTCTCTCTCTCTCTCTCTCTCTCTCTCTCTCTCTCTCTCTCTCTCTCTCTCTCTCTCTCTCTCTCTAAGTTATGGTGACACGCACACACATAGAGAGCCAAGGATTCGGGGCAATTGGCTATCTGCTTCCACTTACTTTTGTAAAAAAAATGTCAACATAATTTAAGTTTTTACATCTTATGATAATGCTACCGTAAAATTTTTGAAAAACAACTTAGATAAGCTATTATCCGCCATTTTCTTTCAATTTGTCTCCACTTATAGCGAATTGTATAGACAGTTGTATAGTTGTGAGAGTTATGAATGTATTGTTGTTACACTTAAACAATGTTGAAGCAATATAGTACTTAGCAATCTAACCTTTCAATCATGAACACACTACATTGATTATTTAATCAATAAATCTAGCTTTCTATAATCAGTTATAAGTTTGCCCCACCTACAAAAGGGTTCTAGATCTGTCCATGCACAGAACTGTTAGCTTGTGGATGAAAAACAACTTGCCATTTGTTTTGGATCATGAAGGAATATTCTTAGTTTATAGTCATTTCAAAATAAGTGTGCTCTTTCTTTGGAAAACATGTGCATGACGCTAGGCATGGTTTTCATAATTCTTAATTAGGTCTGATTTTTACTCTTAACGTTTTTGCTATTTAGGAATGTAAGATTTTACTTTTATTTATTTGAACAATGCAAACTTTAGAAACCTACAGATCAGAAATTTGCAATCATGTCAGAGGTTTCATAATTTTCTAAATCTGAACTAATGTCCTTTTATATTTTTGCGGAAAAGTCAATCAGCAACCTTTTGCTCAAAAAAATCAAAGCATACCGGGACTTAACATACAACATCTGGTATCAGCATGTTGATATTATCTTTTAAGTGCATCCTGGGACTGGAAGCTATCTTTGTAATCAAACCTTTCTCAACTTTTCTCCCTTTACAGTGATTAGAAAAGCTATATTCTGAGCAGAATAATTTACAGCTCAATTATCTTTCCTTGGAGTCTCCATGTGATCTTCGTAACTTCGGGTCACATGGAAATTTATTCTATAATAACTGGCCATTTAACTGCCCCTTTCTTACCCTTCTATGGAGCTGCCAAAGATGTTGGTAATTTTTGTTGGCTAATGGTGTAGTCTTCTCTGATGTGTTGAACATTCAGCACGGAGATGCATATTTATGTCTAAATTACAATGCTGCTCATGTTTATGTAGAGTACAAATGACAATTTCTCTGCCAACGACTGCAACTGAAGGTTTACAATCAGCAAGAGTGCTTCCTATGTATGTACTGTTGGCGAGATTAGAGTCCGAGGTTAACGGTGTGGAGGTAGTTCATTTGTTTTTTCTATGACCAATTAATTACTAGTCTTACCTTACATCACCTGAAAACACTGGCATGCTTTCTCATTCTTATTTCTAATGCATTTTTATTTTATTTTCACCTTAAAGCATTCTGCAGAATATCGCTATAGTCGTGCATGTGTCTTGACCAGTTTCATGGGAGCTGAGGATGACACCTGTAGTCGGGCAAGTTTTATTCTTCCCGAGATCAATAAACTAGCATTGGAGGCCAAATTAGGATCTCTTTTCATCTTGCTTGTGTGCTATGGTAAGTATTCTTAGATGTCATTTGATTCATTCTCATATCATCGTTTGTTATACAGTTGTACATCCTAAATATGTTGATAACCTCTCGTGAAAAGAAACTCATATAGATGAATCCATTGGAAGACGTCATCCCATCTCAGTATAATCATTTTGCAGCGGGACCTGAAAAATCTCTTTATGGAAATGATACAACCAAAACTCAACTGGATGTAGCAGCTTATCAACGTAAGTTATCTGTTATGTGCAAGTTTCCAGGCACAATATCATATTTGTGGCCTTTAGTTGCTATTCAGTCGCATGTTTCTATGAAACTTGCTTCTTGATGTTGTTGAATATCTAGTTTATTCTTTTATAATAAGATCAAGTAGCTTATCAGGGGGATGTCTGTATCTTCAATGACCTTCCTTTATCTCGATGTACTATTATGTCTGGGTATAAGTTTTGCTTAATTCTTTTGTACAGGAAATGCTCCTGGATTCTGTGTTTTTGGAAAAATACCGATGAAGTCTCTTTACTTATTGTGGGAGAAGTCACCTAACCTGAGTTTGGGACAAAGAGCAGAGGTGACCTTTTCTGTTGATATGCACACTTGTCTGGTCAAGGTATGTAGTTAATTGCTACTTAGATGCCGACTTCTGCCTTTTTAGAGATTTCCAATTTTTGTAGCTTCTCCATTTCGTTTTTTATGGTGGTTTTGGGATATGGAGAGAGTCGATATTCTGTGATTGAGCTCTTTCTGTGAAGGTTTTTTTCAATAAAATGCTGCTTCATTCTGATGCTACTCACTGTTATTGTATTATCTTGGATCTGACTGTGGGTATTATTTTGGCTAGGTGATATTCCTCCGCTAACCCCTAGAAAGCAATGAATAAGATATACTGTACATAATGTACTGAAAAGTTACTGATACACTTCTGCGAAAGTTTGCCCACTTTGCCCACTTTGCCCTTCTTTTGTTGGTTTTAGAGGCCAAACATCTGTTTCCCCCAGGCAGGAGAGGGGATTAGGAATGCCGAACTTTGGAGAAATGTCTTAGCTTTCTCGATTCATGGGCCTCCCAATTTGTTTACTTTCTAATTGTTGAATCAAGGTTCAGAGTATAATGTGCCAAGTTTGCTTTCTTTTCTTTTTATAATTGAATGAAGCATGGATTATGAGTTTCTTGGATGGTACTCGAGAGAGTTCAGGATGTTGGTGCACTCTACTTGAGTGCTAGACTCTGAAAAATGTGCAACCCTGTTCATACCGATGGCTGATAAGTCAGGCTTAAGATTTTTTAAGGACAATTGGGTGAATTGTTTACCACTCCTCTTCCTATCTTTACTGTCCTTGAAGTTCAGTGGTCCTATTTTTTTGGAAACAGTGTGCTGTTTTTTTATCTACCATACAATCATCTAGCTGCAAAATTTTAGATCTTTATTTTGTCCATTTGCAGTGGAGACACTTAAATGAAGACAGACACATATCTGTGCAAGTTCCATATAGCTCTGAAATTCTGGTTTGTGCCACCCCTTTCTTTTACTTGATTATCTAGAGCTTCCTCAACGAACTGCAAAAAAAATGTTGTAGATTTCATGTATCCTTTTACCGGTTTGATTCTAACAGCATGCACGAGAGCGTCTGCATGTAATCGTCGCTGCTGAAGAGGTTGGGGCAAAGGAGAAATCACCATATAATTCATCCATGTGCAATGATGTCATCTCATCATCATTCTCTCATATAATGCGGTAATCATACTATTTTGGTAATTAATACCATGATCTCAATAGTCTGACAGTAATTTATTTGGCCTTTTGTACAAAAATTACCATTGATAAGCTATATAGCCAATCTTAGAAATACTATGATTCTTGTGTTAATAAAGCTTCAATCACACATCATTTCCTCTCCAGCATCTGCATTTTGGCTATTTTTTCGTACTCCTCAAGCAGCTGCAGTTACCTTTATTATCTTTTCCTAATATAATCCATCTAAATTCCAATTTTAAGTAAGAACTTTCTGCATTCTTTGGGCTCTTTACTTTGAGGTATTCATGCACTTGCTATGGATTGAACAGTCCCAAGAGATATTTTTCTAAAGACACAAGATCATTTGGCTGTAATTGGTGCATTTGGGGATACATTATATCTGCATTAATTTTCTGTTTTATTTGTACTGAGAAAACAAGAAGAATTAAGACTCGAGTTGGTCAAATGAGTGGAGACAAATTGTTTTTGCTTGTGAAGGTGAATGTTGATTATCTCTCTCCTTTTCAATTTTCTAGCTTGAGGGCTGGCAATGTTATTTTCAACTACAGATATTACAACAATAAGTTGCAAAGGACTGAAGGTATATATATTTCTTTCTCCTCTTTTGTCTTGTAGAATTAGCAAGAGCCATGTGGACAAAGTTCAGCCTGAATAACGGTTGTTGAACTTAGTAGGGTATGCAATTTATATGTTTGTGGTGATACCTGTCAATCCATTCTTTAATATTGTGCCAGACAGGAGCTAGGGATTGGAGCATATTTTTGTTTTTTTCATTTAATCTGGCTCATGTAGGTTTTTGATTTAGATAGATTTTCTAGTAATGAGTAAGTTAAGAATTCAATATTTGGAAGCACATCTGTCTGAATGTTTATCTAAAGTAGATGTTGATATGCAGTGCTAAGTCTGGGTTGTGGCATAGTGATAGTAATTGCTTTCAGTGTAGTGCGCTTTAAACTTTCAAAAATCAACTGCTATTTTCCTTATATGGTACAACTGCTAATTCTTTGTGAAATTGTGTCTTTGAGGAAAAGTATTGTACCTGTTATTCGGTGAAAGATTGGAACTCTGTGCTTACTGTGAATAATTGCAATTAAAATTTCCCTTAACTTGATCTTACATGGTTAAGATTGAGTATTGACTGTGCCCCCCAACATGTGGGGGGTGTTATGAAATTTTAATGGCAAAAAGTGAACATTCAAGCGGGTCTGACGGAAAACTTAGTGCTTTTGGTTTCTATGGAAGAAAATGTTAATTGATCCCATAAATTGGCTTGCTGAAACTCCTGAAGTCATCAACTTTGCTTTAGTGATCTTTTATAGGACAAAGGAAAGAGGGTTGAACGTTCCTGCTTGGCAACATTAGTTGGGACTTTAATTTCCTTAAAGAATGTAGTCATACTTATGTGTGTCAGGGAGCCTCCTTTCATTTCATCATTCTTGTTGTTATCAGCAGGAACTCTTTTTTCCCTATACTTTTTGGGTTGTCTAAGGAAACATTGTCAAAGCATTAAGGACTGTTTTCTGGGTTCCATTTGGCTAGTTCTCTTTAGGAGAATGGTCACTTGAGTAGGGTTTTTTTTGGGCTCAATACAAAAAGAAAACACTGTATGAGGTGACATAAATTTCTAAATCTTTCCAATTAAAATAATCATTTTACTTGTTCTGCTTGCTCTTTTGTGGGATTGTTTTTATCTGGTTTTCAATGGGCGTGATGTCCCCTTCCTCTTCCCCATTGTCTAAATTGCAGTGACTGAAGATTTCTCTTGTCCTTTCTGCTTGGTTAAGTGCGCAAGTTTCAAGGTGGTACTTCTTGTACTCTTTCAATTATGTCATTTTGTTGGTAGTTACTGACAAATCTATGTATTTAACAGGGTCTGAGGTATCATTTGTTGTCATCACATGATCTCTTCAATTTTGAGTTTTGGGTTGGTAAACTTCAGCTTTCTATATTTGGTATTCCCGAATTTCTGGCAATTATGAAAACGGCTATTGCATCCATGATGTAGGTAACTGAAGAGTTCCAGGCCGTTAATGTCTCTGTAAGAACAGATCCGTGTAGATCTGAGGTGAGAAGCATCTTCATAAGATCTGTAATGTCCTCTGAACTATCTTGCGTCAGGTTTTCTTCCAAGAAAGAGCCAAGATTATGAGGACATAAGCACCAATGGCAGATCTGCGATTTTATATCAGCAGAGCAGAAATTGGTTGAGTAGACTACTTGTCACTTTTTGAGAGGCAGCAGTGTGCATATGCTTTCACAATATAAGCTAGGATCAATTTTTCCACTGGAAGTATATGCTTCTACTGATGGGCAGGCTACTCAGCCTATTTCACATGTCTGCTCTGTGGAGCATTTTTCAAATGAATTGTCAAAAGGACCCAATAAATGCACTATACATATTATACGCTTGTATGAGATAATACACCAGTGTCTAGTCCTTCGACTTACAGAGATAACAGAGAGAACATTGTTCCCTAATATCAGTTTTGTTTGTCATAGATTTTCTTTCAGGAAGTTAGGTGTGTGAATGTGTATTTCGTCATGATATGTCTGATGCTTACACAATTTGATAGAATTCACATCAAAAGCAGAATAATTAACTGTCCATGTTGATTAAATATACATAATGGCTTGAACGTCAGATTTTGGAAGTAGAACTCATAATGTAAATGAGCAGCCATAATTAATTGTCAATCTCCTGTGTAGAGAATTGTTGGCTTTTGTGTTGGACCTTCAGTTTAGCTTCTTGTAATATGACATTTATCTTAGTTTTACAGTATGTGATTGAAATGTTTGCAAATATTGGAAGCATTCCTTAATAGTTTGTTTGGCAAAAGCCAGTACCATGGAATTCATACGTGTGTGTTCTACTAGATTATTGCCGATGGTATGGATCCAAGGCTGCAAACTTTTTTCCTCTGGTGAGACCCACTAATTTTGCCACAATCTAGATGAAATGTGGTCCTTTCAGTTAATGCATCATGGTTTTGATCAATACTTAGCTCTTTATCTATACAGCCTTAAACCGTTCAAGCGGAAAAGATCACTCCACGTAGTTCAAAATGCCAAGCATGTCTATCCACTGGTCTTGGAATCAGAGTTACCTTCAGGTACACGTGACTTGATGCAGCTGACAGTGTGCATTTGATATTTCTTCCCATCTATGTTCTCTTTTCCTACTTGAGAATTATGATGGAATGATAGTTCAGCCTGTTTAGCATCCCCATGTGTTCATTATCTGTTGGGAGAGCGCCACTAAAAATCGCAAACTGTGCCTACTATGCACATTTACCCTAATTTTTTTGTACACTAAAAACCCCAAACTTGTACCCATGTGACACATTAACCTCAAACTTTTTACCACAATGGTGTACCTGTGTGACACATTTATCCCAAATTTTTTTGTGACACCAAAAACCCCAAACTTGTAGCCGTGTGACACATTTGTGGTGGGAAATTGACATTGGTGATGGTGAGGATGAGGGTGGCGGCGGCAGACATGCCGGCTAGGTGCAAACCAAGGAAGAAGACAGAGGGAGGAAAAAAAGAAAAAGGAAAAAGAAAATGAGAAGAAAAACATACAATGACTTGGCATATTTTTGCCATGTGTGAACCACTACAGCACCATTTGCCTTTCATTGTCCATGTAGGTGGCCACATAAGATTTTGAACGGTGTTTCTTAACGGAATTTTGATGGACGGTAAATGTATCACACGGGTACAAGTTTGGGATTTTTTGTGTCACAAAAAAAGGTTTGGGATGTGTCACATGAGTACAAGTTTGGGGTTTTTGATGTCACAAAAAAAGTTGTGTTAAATGTGTCGCAATGAGCATAGTTTATGATTTTAGGTAGCTTTTTCCCTTTTTTGTTTGTTTGGCATTTCTTATGAGAAGTTCAACCATTAATAGGAGGCTTGATGTGCTCCAACAACAATCAGATATTTACGGACCAAAAGAACAAGCGTACAGTAAACATACGTCCAAATCCGTCATTAATTTTCATTCTATACCAGAGAAATAAAAAGGCTGACCGACTTGACATTAGGGGTGCATTTGGCAACCATTCTGTACCCGGAAACTGATTCTGCTAAGAAATTATTCTTTTTTATTCTGTGACCAGGAACAATTTCTAAGCATTTGAAGGCTTTTGGTAACTGCCCAAAATTTCTATTCTTGGAATAGAAAAAGAACAGAAATGCGTTTAGTAACTGCACAATTTTTTTTATTAATAATATTTTAATAATATTTTGAATTTTTTAATATTTCTTTCTTTTTTTTTCTTCTTCCCCTTCCCCTTCCTTGGTCATGGCCAGGTCGCCATCGCCGGCAACGGTGACTGGCCACAGGCTAGGGCCGGTGAGGGCGGCGGCGAGGGTCGCCCACACCAAATCCGGCAAGGGTGGCCCTCGCCCTCGCCCTCGCCCTCGCCGGCACTGGCCTGTGGCCGGTCGCCGGTGGCTGACGGCCAGCGACCGACCACAGGCCAGGAAGAAGAAAACCAAGAAGAAAAAGAAAAAAAAAATTTCTTTTCCATTTCTGATTCTGTTCCAAAACTTATTCTGGGAACAAATTTTTACAAATTTATGCTCGGGAACAAAAAATTTACCAAATGGATTTCTGTTCTAAACTAATTCTGAGAATAAAAAAATAGAATCAGTCACTATTTGGCAGGTTGCCAAATGCAGCCTAGATCTTTGTCATTCGTAGATTGAATTGAACTTCCGAGGTGCTTGTGGATTAGTTCAGAAAAGCGATTATTGTCAAGTTTCAATCTTTAGCAAAAGGGATTCTTCTTGTGATTATATCATCTAAAAAACTTGTAAGATTGTAAAGGATATCATCCATTGATCAATATTGCACAATTTTGAATGATGCCCACTTTCATGATGCCATTCTTTCTAGATAATATTATGGGGATAGTTTATCACACTACTTCAATTAATCTAGAGTCAACAATTCACTCTTATTTCTTGTTTTTCATTATATATTATACATATGCAATGACTTCTGTGGGGTTATATGGGTGTGAGGCACTCCATTATCTACTCAATGCTTGGAGTAATTGCTCTGGTGTTGGTTGATTAGTAACTGGAAAGGACAGAATTTTTCTTTGTAATCAACCTAACGTCACCTCTTATTATCGACCCTAGAAAATGTATAAGTTTGCCAAATATACATGTTGGCAAATCCCCTTTCATGTGGCATTTGAATCAACACTACCACACTTATTCTAATTTCGAAGTTCCATGTACGTTTGTGCTCTACCAATGCTAATGTTCTGTGTTGAGAGAAAAAACTGAACTAAATGCTTGGTTAGGTCTATGTGACCCCAAGCTATCCATTTATAATAAAGCCAAAAGGCCAAAATTACAATATTACCCTTATTGCTGCAATACATAAAATAATAAGGGAATAGACAAATATGCCCCTATTAGCCAAGTACTCTCAACACTACCCCTCAAGTTGGAGCATAGATATCACACATGCCCAACTTGACTAAAACAAGATGAAACGATTTACTCCCTAAACCTTTAGTCAACACATCAGCAAGTTGATTACCGGACTGAACAAAGGGCATACAAATTAAACCACTCTCCAACTTCTCTTTGATAAAGTGCCTGTCAATCTCCACATGTTTTGTACGGTCATGTTGTACAGAATTGTGAGCAATACTAATGGCGGCTTTATTATCACAATATAGCATCATAGGAATAGGAACAGATACACCAAGATCTTCACGTAATCCTTTAAGCCATAACAGTTCACAAACTCCATGTGCCTTTGTTTCCTCAAAATCTGCAGGTTTTCCATATAACTTCCAGCAGGTAGCTTTAGTATGATAAGGCTTATGACAATATTCACACTTCACAACTTCCTTAGGGGTATCATTAAATCGAGAGAACGAACTAGATTTAGTAATAGTGCCAACACTGATTTGTAGAGCAGATCGATCAATAGTAGAGGAGTGGAGCATTGCTATCCTATGGCTTTCTTCCGAGTGAACTAGGGCATAGGATTGTTCCAGAGTGGGGAATGGAGACCGACTAAGGACTTGAACACGTATCTGATCATATTCAACATTCAATCCTGCCAAGAAATCATAAACTTTGATCTTGTCCACATGGTTCTTGTAGGTAGCAATGTCTGTAGCATTGGTTGGTTGATAATCGGTATAATGATCTAGCTCTTGCCACAAACTCCAAAGCTCAGCATAATATTGAGATATGGTCATCTCCTTCTAAGAAGTGTCATGAACCCTTTTTCGAAGTTCATACACCTGTGCATCATTCCCGATTTAACCATAAGTATCCCTAGCAACCGACCAAATCTGCGCCGCAGTATCAAGAAGCAAATATCCTTTTGCAATATGTGGCTGCATCGAGTTAAGCAAAAAAGACATTATCAAAGAGTCATTCAAGATCCACTTGTCTTGAGTAGAACCTGATGTTTTCGGCTTCACAGAAGTGCCGTTGATATGACTTGTAAGCCCACGGCCTGCAATGGTCAAGAATACAGATTAAGACCATATCAAATAATTTGTGCCGTCAAGCTTCACAGAGATCGTAACGAAAGTAATATAATCTGTACGGCCATCTCTTGTAGGTAGAGGGTTCTCAACTGAACCGTCAGACATTGTGTCGCTGGTAGTAAGCTAAAATTATCCTCCAAAAAATCAGCTAGGTTAGATCAAGGGAAGAAAAAAAATCGATTTTTTCAAGGTTTTGAAAACTTGAAAAAAATCTATAATTCTAATTTTTCCCAAAGAATCTGAAAAAATATGGTGGTCCACGAACTGCAGTGCTTTGGTCGTCTCACACGAGAGAATTGTAGGCTAGCGGCAAGGCAAAAACAATTCCAAACGAGAAGATCCAAAAAATTGCAAAAGAAGTTGAACCACCTATCGTGGACTGCAAAGAAGTTTTAGTTATCTCATAGAGGTGAAGTTTAGGGCAAACACTAGATTCAAAGAATCACCTCATTAGTGCTGGCCTACACTGTGAAAAAGAGCAAAGGAGAAGATGAGAAGGAACTGCGATGGGAGAGAGTGAAGGCGTGAAGAGAGGAAAAAGAAAGGTTGCGCAGAGGAGAGATTAGTGTTAGGGTTTCGGTTCAAATCTAGCTCTGATACCATGTTGAGAGAAAAAACTGAACTGAATGCTTGGTTAGGTCTATGTGACCCCAAGCTATCTATTTATAATAAAGCCCAAAGGCCAAAATTACAATATTACCCTTATTGATGCAATACATAAAATAATAAAGGAAATAGACAAATATGCCCCTATTAGCCAAGTACTCTCAACATTCTGTTCGCATCGTGTTGCACAAATCTTAACTTTCTGTTGCTGAACAGGCTATAATCCCTGATATTGTATCTTTATTAAGAGAGCACTTATTGTAGTTTCTCTATGAGATGGTTATACTGTGGAAAAGGAAAACTCCATGGAATTTTTTGTCTGTCGTACTTGGGAACTTCATTGTAATTAAAGCAACGAGAACTACCTCATATTGCTTCAGAAACAATATTGTGGCTTCTATCATTTTTCTTGACAATTATATAAAATTCATAAGTACCCTTTTCCTGTATAGGATTCACAGGTTTCCAGTAGGTGTGATATGGACTCTAGTGCGTATTTAGATCTGCCTCTGCTGAAAAGAAACAGTTATATTATTGGTTCTTTCCTATTCGTGTTACTTTCCCTTTTTGGAATACTTGTAGCCTTTTTGGTATGTGATCTAACAGATGCTTATTCCAGTAGAGGTGAAAAGGCTCGTGCTTTAGGTTAGGAAGTTAGGATGGCTGCCAAAATGATATATTGCTTGTTCGATGTCAAAAGCTTTGACAGTGTCACATTGATGTTGCAGGAGTTACAAGTGCCACAGGACAATCATATGCTGACACTGATTGTGTTCAATCAGTGTCAGCCAACAACTTTGCACCCCCTGCGATGCTTCAGTTTGCAAAGACGAGGAAGTTATCGATTGAGCGATCTGAGCCAAGAAAGTATGGTTTCTTCCTCAATTTGTACTATTTTAGGAATTAGTCCACTTTTTATCCCCTAACTTGTGTTGTTTGTGCAATTTGCCTTCTCCTTTTTTGTGCAATCAAGTCCTCTTTCTTTTTCTTTTTCTTTGGCTTTTTTTTTTCTGAGTCCTCTATTTTACCAAATTGTGGAATCAGGTAATTTTGGCATTGGCACCATTAGGGGCTTCCCACAGATTTTATCATTAGAAATATAGAAAAATAAAAGAGACAACTATTAAAATCCAAAGAAACTTAGCAGGGAATGAAAAATGAAAAAATAAATCTAGGAGAGAGAGAGAGAGAGAGAGAGAGAGAGAGAATCGGTTGCGTTGCAAGTTGGGCCAGGGATAGATTGTTGTCCTGTGAGAGCTTTCTTGAGGGATCCTGAAGAGGCAGGCAATGGAGCGATGGGTCATTGATTTGGTCGGTGAGTTGAATGAAGTGGTTATTTAAGTTGACTCTGAAGTGAAGTAGAAAGGCAAGGGGCTCTATTGCTGGGGCATCTTGAGAGTGGAGGAGTATTGGCCTTCAATAGGTTCCTTTATTTCGGCAGGTTAATGAAATGTTGAGGTCGAATGAGTTGTTTAGAGATCGTGTATTAATAATGCTCGAAACTTGAAAGTAGTAAGAGGCTGGGCGTGGTGACTGGAGAGATGTAGAAGAGGAGACCAATGTCCGTCATGATGCTGTTGGAGTAGCATTTGTTTATGCAGTCAACGGCCATTGAAGTATTCCTGCAATGGTATCCATTTTGAATTTGTTGGGACGGGGAGGGCTCTCTATTGATTTTCTTTTACCCTTTCTTTCTAAATTAAATTAATTTATTTTTATCTTAATTAGTTTTAAAATATTTTTATAAACTGCCACATTAGCACACCACGTCAGCATATTAGCGGTGTTAATGATGGGGGCTTGACTCCATAAATCACGCAAGATAGGACTTGATTATGCCAAATAAAAGAAAAAGACCAAATTACACATACTGCACAAATTAGCTGACTAAGTGGAATTGTCCCTACTAACTTTTTTCTCCTCTTCCGGCGCTTGCCGCTTTTATCTGACCAATGCTAGCGAGTATGATAAAATGCCACTATTATTTAGGAACAGAGAGAGATACTTGACCTTTAAAAGCAGAGGAGTCCGAATGTACTTCTGTTCTTGTTACTTCAATTCTGAATTCGTTATTAATTGGTATGTGAATGATGGAGCTCACTAGTTTCCGTAAATGAATAATCACTTTGTCTCTTTTACCTCGAAGAAGCTCGTTATTTGCTAAATAAAGTGTTAAAAGTTCATAGGATGTGATCTCAGTTAAAGTTTGGATTGTACTTCAACATCAGAGGATGAAATATATATCTTATTTCATTAGATATGTTCTGAATGTCAGTACATTAGTTAATTCTTAATTGAGTTCCATCTTAAAATTGGACTTCCCTTTGCAGCCGTCTCCTCTTGCAAAAGCGGCAGTTCTTTCATTCACATCGAGCTCAGGTGGTCCAAAATCATGATTTTTTTAGTTCTGTTTCATGTGGATCAGTTTATATTTGAATTTTTTATAACCCCTGTTTTCTGGTTCTTGAAGCCTATGGCCGTTGAACAAGTGATGTCTGATCGAGATAGTGAGGATGAAGTCGATGATGATGTAGCTGACTTTGAAGATCGAAGGGTATGTGATCAATGCATAATCCTTTTTATTTAAGTGTGGCATTATTTGCCTGATCAGGTTTCCGTACAGGGATTTTTAATTCTTCCTCTCTAAGTAGATCCCGGTGGCTTTTGGGATGACCTTTTGGTTTAAGGAACTAAATTCAAAGTTTATGACCTGGAAATGTTATGTTGTCAAGCAGTTTCAGAATTAAATCGTTTCAAGAGCAAGGAGGGTGAACTGCTTCAGTGTTTAAATTCTTACTTATATGTAAAGTTGTGATATGCGTATCACAGTTTCCAGTTGGGGGCTGCATGAAATGTGCCTACCAATGTGTCTAGTGGTTATAGCCTAGTATAACATTGTCCTAGTTCCTTCTTATTTCCCATGAAAATCTTCTGAAGTTGGGCCTTTGATTTTGTGAGACAGTCTGCATGATTTTGGCATGATTTCGGGCTTTATTGGACTTTAGAACATTTGATAGTTGACACTGCTATTTCTATGCAGATGCTTGATGATTTTGTGGACGTGACCCAAGATGAGAAGCGAATGATGCATCTATGGAATTCATTCGTGAGGAAGCAAAGGTTATTCTCCTATTCTGAGTTTAATATCTTTTGTTGTTTTTTTTTTGGTAAGGTAATATCTTTTGTTGTTTCTGGTCATTTTCTTCATTCCCATATTTAAGTCCTGCTCAAAGCAGCACCAATTGCTCAACCTTTTAGATGATGATGGAAAAGTTTTATTATGCAATTAATGGCGTGATAGTTTTCTTGATTACTCCAAGTCTTCAATTTTTAATAATTTGCAATCAACTAACACTTAGTAACAACTGCTCGAAACTCAAATAATCATAAGCTCCAAATTCTGAAATTCTGGTTGCCTCTCGATTTAATACCTCCAACAAGACATTGTAAAAATCCTTTGAATCTGGATAAGCAGGTAAAGAAGGCATAAATATTTTTGCCCGGAGAGAAATTTATCGGCTCAACTAGCTAAGACATACAACCATAATTGAATGTGCTCTCTTACTAGAAATAATAAAAGCGTCATTTATTCTTTGAGAGAATAAGAATCAGTCAAGAATCTCCGGGACATCTGACGATTGCAACTTTTGACGTGTCCTTCGAAAATTAGCAAGGTTACATCACTCGTTGCTCCATTCGGGAGCTTTTATGTGTTTCCATGCTCCTGTGACGCCTCAGGGAAGGAGGCGCAGACCATAGAACACTTGTTGTAATCATAAGGTCTTTTGGAGGGCTCATTATGATCTTACGTTGCATCATTGAGATTCCTCATGCTAAACCTTTCTTACAGACTGTACTGACACTTTGCATTGGTTGAAATGTTGACACGATTATTACAGAGTAAATCTGTAAATTTCACCTTATCGAGTCCTTATTCTCTCCGCCCTTTTGATTCTATTTCTGCATATGACATGAAGAAGTCAGATTGGGTTTAGATGATTATGCTTCTTGTACTTGTTGTCTAATTCCTAATACAGCTTTGTTGACTGGATGGCAGGGTGCTGGCAGATGGTCATATTCCTTGGGCATGTGAGGCATTTTCAAAATTGCATGGAGATGACCTTGTCCGTGCACCCGCACTTATTTGGTCAGTATTTCTTTTGCAGCTTCTGTGAGGATATTCTTCTTTTGACACGCTCAAACTCTTCCGCCTAATTATCTGTCAGCTGACTCAGTTTGTCGTATTTGGTCAGCACTACTTAATTCACAGTGCAAAGTTTTTGGTGTTCTGTACTTGCCTGCATAGAGATGCTAGTTTCATACTGATTGATGTATTTATGAATTGTGGTTGGGGACTAACTGTTAAATAAAAGCATGGACTTGTTTAAAAAAAAAACCAATTACCACCATGTCAGATTCCCTATAAGTCAGGCAGGTGGGATATGCTCTGATCTGCTGTTCCAGTTGCATAGTCTCTGGTCAGGAGACATACTTGGATGTTTGCACTTCTAATGAGTATGCCTTAGAACTCCTTTGGTGCAGTAACATGAAACTTATCATTTTAATTAGAAAACGAGTCCTGTGAGCTACTGTCAAACATTTAGCATGGCTTGCCAACTATAATAGAAACTCGATGTCTGAAGTGGACGACATTGCTTGCTGATACGACAGGTGTTGGCGACTCTTTTTGATCAAGCTTTGGAATCACGGCTTGCTCGATGCCCGCACCATGAACAATTGCAATATCATCCTGGAACAATGCCAGAATCAAGGGCCAGATCCTATGAAAAGCTAGACAGGAAGTGTATCGCGACACATCCGTGGCTGATGAGCGTGGAGCAAGAGGAACGATAGAAACGCGGACAATTATCTAACTTTCATTGGTGAGACTGTGCATCAATTTTCTCAGAGTTTTTCTTTTCTTATTTAGTTTTGAGGCATCCTAAGGCCCAACTCTATCTGTAAGTACGCTCTTTCATCGTGCAACTTTGACAAGTCGTCAATTTTATATCTACATAGAAAAGTAATCCAGTCGACGGAACGCAGCAGACACATTGTCGCAAAAGCAAAGCAATCATCTTATCTTACCACGACTCTCCCCCTCTCTGGTCTCAAGCACTCCAATTTCAATTCATTGGGTCGGCTTGTGCTGCAATTGGAGACGATAAATGGGCCATGCCAGGTGAACTCTGCCCTCTACACTAGTGCTTGGTCGGCATAAACTATGTACCTTATTAAATTATTCTGAACCGTGTGTGTGAATGGATCAGTACACACGAACAAATGGACTCTTTTGTTGTCGTGTTGACCATAAATGCACTGGTCACTGGGTTCATACCGAATGTTCTCATCGACATATGGTCCATCCTGACTTGGAAGTGCGTCTTTGCCCTCATTTCACGGCCCATTTGGAAAGCTACGAGAGAGGAAAAGTCAAAGTGATTTTCATTGGCAGAAGAAGCTCACAAAGGTTGGCGTGGCGTGGCGTCCGTCCATTTCGTTTTCTCGGGGGGAAAGTTCCTCCTCATTGGGGTTCTCTGTGTTTCTCTTGTGCGTCCTTCGTATTTTCTGTCTTGATGGCCCGCCAGAAGGACTGGAAAATAAGCGATTTTCTCGGCCAAGAGAAAAGAAAAGGGTTGCACTAATAATAGGAGGTTGGTTCTCAAGAAATTTATAAAGTAATTAATAATCCAAATGGCCTAAATCAAAAAAAAAAAAAAAAAAAGCACCAACTTTATGTTAAGTGATAATTTTGATTCGAATTTTTTTTTGTCTCATCAAAAATTACAAACTTTCACTTAAATTCCAAATCTGATTCGAACAATTCGAAAATTTTACATCATAGGGTGCCAGATTTGGGACTCGAGTAAAATTTGGTGTTTTTCATTGAGAAAAAAAAAGTTCAGATCAAAATTGTCACTCGAGATCAAGTTGGGGCTTTTTTTTGGAATTAGCCTTAATCCAATTGCACATCGTCCGAAAGATAGTCATTTTGTCTAAACAGCTGATGACTTAGGGAGCATTACATCCAAAACAAGGTCACCGAGACAAACCCCGTGATTGAGATTTGTAAGCCTCGCTTTCCTTTATTTTCTTCTATTTTTCTGAAGCATCCACATGTCTGCTGAAAGAGAAAGTCTATACTTTGACAATCAGATGCCGTTGCCTATCCAACTTCTCCTCGATATTTTGTCCAATTTGTACGCAATCCTCACATCGGAAAAGCAAAGAATAATCTGATAATTAAATAAGTTAATTGTCTGTATTGAGACCTATAGGCTAGCTTGTTTGGCCTTCTATAGTTGATTTGAATTCATTCTTCGATTTAATTTGTTAGCAAATAGCAGGTTTGTTACTGCTGCATGCTTTTTATCAGTCGAGTTCACACATACTTACCCATAGAAAAGGGCATGTATGTATGTGAAGAGGAGAAAAATATTTAAAAAGTTTTGTTGTACGGCGGCCAATTCAGTTCTAAACTTTTTTGTTTAGCCAATTTAGTCCTAAACTTTTTGACGACTTGCCAATGTAATCTTTTTGACCAATTATGGCTAGAAAACCGCTAACGTGGATGCCGAACATCTTACGTGGCACGATCAATGTTGACGTGAACAATTTTTACCTTTTTTTGAAATTTTCTAAAATTTTATTTTATGTTTATTTTATTTTTTCTTTGTTTTGTTTTCTTTTTCCTTTTTCCCTTTATTAGATTTTGGCTAGCTGGGTCGTCAAGCCCCGGCAATGGCGGGTGATCTCGCCGGCTATAGGCGATGCCCTCACCAAGATCCAAGCAAGGGTGTCGTGGCCCTCGCCCAAATCCAAGCGAGGGTCGCGACCCTCACCAAGATTCAAGCGAGGGCATTGTGGCCCACGCCCAAACCAGGTGACACCCTCACTTGCCAATCGTTAAAAGATTTATAATTAAATTGGTAAAATTGCAAAATATATGATTGAATTGGCCACCGTATAATAAATATAGGACTTTTTGGACAATTATCCAATTTGAAGAGCGTTGAGGTAGTTAATTTCTTGGTGCTTGCAAACGATTAGACTATATTCATGGAAGTCTTCTAATTTCCTTTCCTGAGCACATGATCCTGCCAAAAAGAAAAAAAAAAGCAAAACATTGTTTAGTTATCATGCCGCTTTGTGCATGGACAGTGTTCTTGCTTTTCTCTCATTTCCCATCTTCCTTTTCTTAGGTCAGTTCAAGTTTCACCATTCTGATACGGTCTCGTGACAAAGTTCCTCCAACTCCACGAAAGACTTGGAAAACAAATCGCCGATCGCCAATTGTGGGAGGGATTTGTTGTAGATCCACTAGGTTGCACACTCGAGCAAGAAGAAGAAATAGAAAAATGAATTCGTTGGTACTCGAGTCATATCGTACGAAGTCACACACGCTATTTCCTCTACATTATAAGGGCGAGCTGCTTCTGCTGTTCGCATTCCAAATCACTTTTTCCTGTTCTTAGTCAACTTTAAAAAGACCGGTTGAAGACGGGAAAGTTGGTGAGTTTCTGACGGATTGAAGATCATCGTAAGGTTGGTGAGTTTCCAACGTTGACTTCTCCCCATCTTCTGTCAACGGAACTATGTAATTAGTATCTCATCAATTGAGTTTATTAGAGGGTTTGAGTGAATTACCAAAAGGTCTACGGATAACTCCACACGCCTTTTCTCTTACGCATGCAATGATGAACAACTTTAAAATAAAGTCTTTATGGCTAACTTCCTTTCGCACTTGTACCTTTTTTTTTTTATGAGTTTGTGTTTGACAAACCATTTTCAAAATGAGCCAATGCATATATTATATGACACTTCCGATTGAGTGTAATTTAAGCCTCACACATGAATCACGGGATGTGAATGTAACCACGTTTAACGGATAATAAGAGATAAGGAAGCACGCAAGATAGTAAGCATAACGGACACGAAAATTTTTAGAGAGGGTGTAAGGCTTCGAACTCATGAACTGCACATTTTAATATCATATTAGATAAATCCTTTTTTTTTTCCTCAGAGATCTCGACTTTTAAGAAACGGATCACATCTGATTTTAATAAATGTGTTCCTTTTCCATAAGTAGTTAGAACGAGAGGGATTTGAAATGCTCTTTTCACATGTGCTTCCACTATTTTGTAGGGGGAGGATGAAATTTCTACGAATGTTCGTGCCGTAGGGCTATTTTTCAACTCGAAACTTAAGTAGAGGTTCCGTTTATTTCGCGAAAAATAAATAATTTAAAAAATATTTTCTTAAAAATGATCTATTGTATCGTTTACAAAAATGGATGAACGAAAAGTATTTTCGTCATATAAGAAAATATCTAGACATAACTCATTGTCGATAATATAAATATTTTTCATTGGCTAATTATATATTTTAATCGATACAAGCGATCATTCTTAGGAAAATACTTTCCAAATCATTCATTTTTCGCGAAACAAACGGAACAAAAGTTGATTGTGTCTCGTTTAGTGTGGAATGTAATAGAGAAGCGAAAGTGGTAACAATCTATAATAAGGTATAATGACATATATCATGCATCTTTGAAGAACGTCTGAAATTATTGTAGCTGAGATTCTACGGTCTAATCCAGTGATTGGGTCAAGAATCGACACGTTACTGTTATGTGATTATGATTTTCGGAAAAAAAATTTGTCTGGTTAGAAGAATTACTGATGATACTCCAATGCTATGCTGGTTTAGGGTTAGGCATGGTCTATAAGTTACTGCAGTCAAAAGCATTTCTTCACGGATGTTCTTTCTTCTGGAAAGGTGTATCACCAAAACCCTTAAAAAGGTTCCTCAGTGTAGGAACCTCACGTATTGTACGAAAAATAAACATGCAACATGCATCTATATATGTCTTACATTTCAAAAGTGTTTCGCACATGATTTTCATGATTAACGAGTATCCTAACTCGATAACAGTCTCTCATCATATTCGATGTCGGGTAAAGAAAACGGGATTATAAGAAATCCTATATGAAGTTAACCTAATCGAAATCTTTTGCATAGAAATTCTACGATAATCTTTAGCATCTTGAATTCATTTTATCAACCACCCGGCACACTAATCTTATCGGTATTGAGCATCTACAGTCGACCAACAAGTTGAATTAACGATATTTCGACAACGATGGTTTGTATTTGTATGGACAAACAGGTCTCTCCAACAGAGGAAAGGAACAGAAAGACAATGGGGCGAGATCGTTCTTGGGCATTTCCTATGAATAACACTGTTTTTAACTAGTGCAGAAAAAAGAAAGTAGCTCTTTCATTTTTTCCATGTTCTAGGACAATAAAGCAGGTCAACGGGAGTCGTCACTCTCGTAATCAACGGCCAACGACGGCACTTTTTAACTTTCCAAAGGGGAGACTAAGAACATTATTTTCATTATTTTCTTCCTATTTATCTAAGGTATTGTCTTTCTTTATTGGTGTGAAATCAGATAATTCCCGTCCCCTTTATTCCTTTCAAACATGGCGATCGTTCACATCTCTCTCCATCTCTCTCTTTCTCTGTTCAATGTTTTCACAAGTCCTCCTCTAACCATAATGGTAGAAACTGGAAAGTAAATGGGCCATCATGGGATGGTAGGAGCCGTACATATTGTTTGTCGTCCGAAAAGTTGGCAGAAGATTGTTGATCTTGTTTCTACCCTCTCAATTCCTGTTGACAACCCTTTTCCATAAGGGAAACATTCATGGAAAATTAGCTTAGGGTACATGCCTTTCGATGTTTGCTATGCAAATCTCAATTATTTTCACATGAAAAGGTCTGAGAGCGTCAACACAAAAATTGTTTGGCGCACCTTTATCCCCACAATTTTTCAGAAGAAGCGCCCGCTCAACTTTGCTTCAAAGGGTTTGAACTTTAAAACATATATTACAAAACTCCCAAGCCGATACGCCTGAGAAGATTGATCTCACTTCTCAACTCAGGAAAGTCACACTGATTTGGCATCCAACAGAACCCCCATGAGACTTCTTCGTCCATGGTAAGCAGGTCTCGAGATCGAAACAAAGATGTTCCGCAACTCGAAGATCCGGGCAACGTCACAAGTTGTAAGATTTTATAACATGATATAATAACACAACGGACTAAGATTTGGGGTACATAGACAATGCAGCTGTTCTTCACATGCTGCGCATCCATGTTCTTAGCTACTTGCTAAAAATAAACTATCCATATCGGCAAAGTGTACAGAAGAAGATTACAAGGCCCGTGCACAAGCATGTTTGCAAGAGATTGACCGCGGACAACAGGGTGATTGTCCCACGGTGTGGAAGGGGGATGAGATGATTTGGAGGTGGTGAATGGGCAAGTGGAGTTGATCGATGGGGTGGTCGATGGTTGTGGTTTGAAAACTTCATAGCATCTCCTAATCAATCCTGGTCAGTGATTAAGCAAGCAGGATCATCATGCGTTTTAGGTGATTTGTCTTGCATCTACATATGCTGTGATAGTGAATTTGCTTCCGAATCGTCTTCACCACGTGAATTACATCGATTCCGCTTTCTTCTCTGGCGATAATGATAGTGACATTGGCCATTGTGCGGTACGGAAGTGGTAGATATAAGAACCCTAATATCAATTGGGGATTCCTTTTTCTTTCTTCTGTTGCGTTGGTTATTTTAAAATAAGCTTTTCTTTTCAGTTTCAAATTTGACATGGGATTCGATTTGTTCGGGAACCCACCATTTTCTATTCGACTCACCAAACACCGAAAACGAAGGGTGACATTCCAAAGGTTGGTTTTCTTTTCTTTTAGCAAAGCAAATTACGCACTCTATTAGAAGTTGTTCCCGTAAAGAAAAGGCATGCAACAGATTCCACTGGATATAGCATTTAACTCTAGTGATAAAGGTGAATACATGCTTTATACATGTGATCTTTCGTTTCGATTGGCAAAAGGGTGAGGAGGAGGTGAATAGTGCCAGTGACTCTTTGGCGTTATCATAAGGTCTCACATCCACTATGGAATGTTCGGCTTAGAGCCATAACTATTCCATACCAACCGCAACTCAAAGGTAATGTTGAACGAGCCTTTTAGAAATTCAAAGAAGATACAAACTGAACTCGTGATTTCGTGAAAAATATGTGACCTTTTTACCATTAGGCCAACCATTTTGGTTGTCACATGTGATGTATTCATGATTTCTCGACATGTTTAAAATTTCGACAAAAACGGGTGTGCAAGGGAGCGAGTTTTGTTTGGAATGATCAGGAGAAATTCCTTGTCATCTCCACTCGGGCCTGTATCCGGATAACATTGGGAATATATATATATATAACCTATCAAACTCCGAGAAAAAGAAGAAGAAGAAGAAGAAAATCTAGTCTAACTTCTTAAAGTGACATGATGATTGTATTGATTCTTCACATTGACATCCATCTGATGTGATTTTTTTCTATTGGGTGTTCATGTCATTGCCTCACCTGTTCCTGCAGAAATAGGAACATGAGTTTGATCTACGTCAGCCCCTTCTTGTGCATCGGTTCTGTTCATCAACGACCGACAGACTCGTCCTCAGCTTAGTATTCATTCCCAAACACAAACACAGTGCGTGTGATTGGTAGTTTTCATTACAAAACATACCAACGTTTTCCTCGCGCCTTCTTTTATGTCGTTCCTTTTGTTTTTTCAATGAACCTAACTAACCAATAGCTCCTCGCCAAGTAGCAACAGCCCTACGTGGAATGCATCCAATCGCTCCCCCTCCCTCCTCAAACCGGCTCCTCCATCGGCCTCGGCCGCCACTGCCGCCACCGTCGGTGCTCCTTTTGCCTTCTTGGCCGAGCCAGCGACGGCGCCTTTAGCCTCGGATTCCTTGCGCTTTGCGGTGACTCTGACCGGCGCGGGCTCGCCGGAGCCGATCCGGTGAGGGAAGTTGAGCAAGGCCTTGGCGCCGCGCATCCGGTAAGCGGCTCGGTCGTAAGCGAGAGCAGCTTCCTCAGCCGTCTCGTAGGTGCCGAGCCAGACTCGGGAGCCGTTTTTAGCCGGGTCGCGTATCTCCGCGGCGTACTTGCCCCACGGCCTCTGCCTCACTCCCCTGTAGTGGCGTCCCTTGCAAAACGCGCTCCGGTGGAGACCGTAATCTCTGGCGAAATCGCTCTCCCGCCCTTCCAAATTGACCACGCCACCGGAGACCTCGACGGAGGGGCTGTAAGAGGCGAAAGCGTTGTGGAGAAACAGGGCCTCGTCGGGGGCGAAGGAGGCGGGGACCGAAGCGGCGTGGAGGAGGGGGCGGGGCTGGGGGTGGACGGTGGTGATGACGGAGTCGTAAGGGGACCAGCCGGAGTGGAGGGCGTCGTGGAGGGAGTTGTAGATGAGCATGTCATCGGAGTCGTTGAGCTGGAGAGGGAGGTCGCCCCAGTGCTCCTGGGTGAGGCACGGGTTAAGCCCAGAGACGCCGTCCTGGGGGTGGTTTCGCTGGTGATACAGAGGAGGCAGGGAAAACATGGTTTCTTCAGCTACTAACATGGTGGATTGGTTCATCTTTTCTGGTTTTCAGAGCTGGTGAATGAGGTTGTACTGATGAAATTCGTTGTGAAATTGCAGAGAGGATGGGAGAGGGAGAGGGAGAAGGAGAGGGAGAGAGGGAGGGAGGGAATAAGAATAAGGGGAATGTTGGGGGTGGTGGAGCTTTATATAGTGGACTTGGAGAATTGCAAGGGCACAATACGTAGGAAGCTGCACAGTTATCAAACAGAGAGAGAGAGAGAGAGAACAGAGCAGCATGACACACGCGGCGACAAAAAGTTACATGACATGTGTAAGTGTAAGGGCACTTACTTCTAATTCTTAAGTGCTCATATCATTGAGTATTTGAAATGTTAGGCTGATACAGTACAAATTTCCACTGGCTCTACACCCGTCCTGCTGCAACTTTCCATAGGATATCTGATGAGCTCCTTGCGATTGCAATAGATATATCCACTCAGCTTTCAGGAAGCGTGGTTTACCTAATTTTTGAGGAATTGTTACTTCAAAACACATGCTATTGAAGCCACGAGTGAAGAAGCTTTTGGCGTTAACGACACAACGCGCTACGTCGATGCCAACAGAGAAACCGATACGGAAAATCGATATACTAATTGATGTGGCAAACTCTCACAGTTAGTTGAGTATGTAGCTACACTAAAAGGATCGTGCAATAGCTAAATGATTTATGTTAGGTATACTAAAATTGGTTTATCGAACTAATATGGAAAGTGATATGGTAAATCGAAAATGCGCCTTTAAACAATCTAATACAAATGAGGGGAAAATTATCCAAAAAGTCCTAAATTTATCGCACTTTTGCCAACTCAGTATTAAACCTTTTAATTTTGTCAATTGAGTCCTAAATCTTTTCACGTTTTGCCAATTGAATCTATCTTGTCAATTTTGACTGAAAATTGATGACGTGGACTGATGTTGACATTTTTTCAATAATATTTTAATATTTTTACGAGTTTTTTAATATTTTATTTTTTCTTTTATTTTTCTTTTCTTTTCTTTTGTTTGTTTTTTTACACCTTTGGTCATGAGGTCACTGGCTGACCATTGCCGGCCACGGACGACGCCGTCGGTCCTTGTGCATGGCTAGCGAGGGCCGCGATGCCCTTGCCTTTGCACGGAGATGGTTGGCCAAGAAAAGAAAAGAAAAAAAAAGGAAAAATCAAATAAAAAATTCAAAATTCAAAAAAATATTATAATATTTCTTTAAAATGTCCAAGTTAGCGTCGGCCGTGCCACGTAGGATGGCCGGCGCCCATGTCATCAATTTCCGGCTAAAATTGGCCAAACGAACTCGATTGGCAAAATATGAAAAGGTTTAGGACTCAATTGGCAAAATTAAAAGGTTTAGGACTGAATTGGCAAAATTGAGATAGGTTTAAGACTTTTTGAACAATTTTCCCTACTAATGAGTCTATTGGAATTGAAAAAGAATATACTATGCGACACACTCGTATTGTACCTTACCATTGCCAATTTTTTGATGAGATTGTATCTCGAATTTGGACGATCTAACCAAGTCTCTCGACACTATTAGTATATCCAACTTTTCGCGTCATCTCTCACATTAACACATAGGTACGTGCTCATCAAATTCAGGTTTTTGTCAAGGACAGAGAAACTCGCTCATCCTTCTGAAACAACCCCTTTCAAGAGTCCTATAATCACTGAATCAACTTGTGCTAGTGACATGCATATTGCAATCGAGTGCTTCATCCTCAACATAAAGAAAAGTTTGTGGGATACAATACAAGTGGAGAAAATGGAAAGAGCGAGGAGGGGTCGTTTCGGGACTTTCCATGTACTTACCGAAAGGTCTCCAAGCTGGGGAGGAAACGAGTGGAGGGATTGGCAGGAGCGAAGTGGAATTCGTGAAACGTGAGGGAAAGAAAAGTAGGGTTGATGCTCTCGTCATTACCCCCTGACGTCGGCTACATGGACTCTCCATCATTCGTTTTCATGGAAAGATGGGGGAGGCGATCATGGAAATTTTGAGTAGTAAACGTTGGAGAATTCAATAGATAAACCATCATGGTTCATGATGAGGAGGTGCAAAATAATTGTCTAAGTTAAACACCATCCGTAGACTTGACTGCCAAACCCCCTCTTAAAAGAATCTGGCGGCTGACTGACTACGAGAGAGCTTGGATGTTAACGTAAAAGCTCAGTTTTGCTTAGTTTACCACGTCTTTAGATGGAAACAAGATGGTCAGCCATCGCGGATCGAAGCACATCCGCCGGTGAGGATGTCGCAGAGAACTTGTTCAGCTTTTTCGATCGACTGCACTTTGGCTGAACAAATCATCACGATCAGTAAAGTTAGACCATGTCTGTCGTGAATGAAGTGCAGCAACGTTTGATTTTCGTTCAGGAATGGCTGCTGAGTGGCCATGCCCGGGTTACTTCCATCTGGGGAAGCATGAATAGCCCCGACGCGCGCGCGCACACATTGCAAAGAAATCCTATTTGCCCCACCAAGACTCTTTCAATCTTGGTAGGCTCAGGCTCATATGATTGAATCATCCTATGAAATTTATTCTAAGCTCGCGTGCATAATTATATATTTATTTATCTGCTATTACTTTTAAGGGAGAGATCTCCTCTTGGTTTTCTCCCGTTACTCATTTTAACTTAGTTTTACTTTTTCATTTTTCAATTGGGTTGAAAGTCAAAAATCAAAAGTCTCCGTTACCCTATTGTTTAGACAACTATCTCCTACTCTTCTCCCTTTTGAACGTGGGGGTTGCTTTCCGACCGAAAAGAGAAACAATCTTTGTTTAATAAAGAGAGGGGTTTCCCAGTTCATCAAAATAGTTACTACTCCTTTCTCATTTACTCTCAATTTAGCATATTAGTGCAGAATGTGCATGTACGCTTAATGAATCCATGGGCTATTTTCGTCATCTGGCACTTAATTAAAAACTACCATTGACTGCCACTCTACACTCTTCAAAAGGAGATAATCAATTATCAAACAAAATATAAAGATATACACAATTACGCCTTTTACTGAGGGAATTTCTCTTTCACTTGAAAAGTTAACAAGTGTCACGTGCCCAATTTGACATAAATGGCGTGCACAGCATGCGTTGGGTCTAGTATTCTACTATGAAATACCTGCAGTCAACACCACTATCCCACAACTAGGAGTGAGCGATTTAGGGTGAGTAAGTTCCAAACTCGGAACCTAGAACCTACCATGTCGGAATTGAGTCCCAATTTATAATCTATAACCTACCCTGCAGATCTTGGAACATACCCTGGAACAGACCTTGTTGGTCCAGTCCGGTTCTGGGGTTTACTCGGAAACCGGCCAATTTCTGTTTTGTTTTCAATTTATATTATTTTTTAAAATGACAAACTTTAGTGAAACATCTCCTTATTGACAACCGAGACATCTGAATTGGGAAGTGTCCAATTCATCCCTTAGTCGAGCAAAATAAAAGTTGAAGCAACAACAAAAATTCCTATTCGCCAAAAGTAACGATCCATAAAAGATGAAAAATCTAAGGCATCTTCGGCTATGTTTATTATGGAGTGTTGAGAGTCGTCAATGGTTGAACGAATTAAATTCTTTGAAGGAAGTGGAGATCAAACAATTCATGTCCCCGAAAGGTTTGCCCGATCTGCTGGCATTCACTAACTTGGAGACAGATTGGATATTGCTAGAAGCTGCAGAGCACACCATTGTAGGACAAACAAGCATCATCCCGAAAGTGCAAGAACTTCCCCTGGATGAGTACAAAACTTATGCAAGTAAGGGTGAGTGGTTCAAGGTGAGTAGGTTTAGACCTGGAACCTGTATATACCCTGTCAGGATCGGTTTCTAATTTTTGGAACCTAACACCTAGCATGTAGATCCTGGTACCGAACCAAAATCGGCCAGGTAGGGTCAGTCTAGTTCTAGGATTTACCCTAGACCAGTGCTCACCCCTATCCACGATCAAGTCCTTTCTAGCAATACTGCGAAAGTGCAACCACATATAGCTTGCATATGTGTGTGCGTGTGTGCGTGCACCCATTCCCATTGAATAAAAAAAGCTGAAAGTTTCTGTCCTTTAAATTTCCAATGCTTGTTTATCTATCCACGACAACAACTTGGACGGTAACGACACAATTATCAAATAATGGTAGGCATTGACTAAGATGGGCTCTTCACGGCCTAAAAGGTTTAGAAAAGAAGCAGGAGATCTAGGACCAGATGCACATTTGGGCAAACATATCACCCACTATTTTCAACAACCATATCTGCATGTTGGACAGCTCTACATTCATATATAATCCTTTTCAGGCCCCACCCACATTAAAGTTTCGCAAATTGCCGATTATAGTGTCCAGAAATTAATAAAATTCTCTAATTTTTTTATCAAATTATTATTATGTATCTAATCGAGTTTGTACTATTTTGGCTGTGTCCAGCGTATTCCACCTCCAAGCCAAGCCTACTGACTTCAATCATGTATTCTTATTTTGTCACTTTCTATTGTATAGTACCACGGGGAATTGGCATTTCATATGCTCGCATTTTTAACCTTCATTCAACCTTTTGGTGCATATATTGCAATTGTATATGACAGGCACCGATGAATTGCCAAAAGCTAGCCCGCCTTTTGGACTGCTTAAATGGTTTATAAATGCCGCAACTTTGACTCTTTTTTTATGTTTAATAATGGAAAAGAGAGCATGGAATTGCTTGGAAGTCATACAAAAAGGAGTTAAGGAACTTGATTTTGTCCTGTTCTTTCGCTCCAAGGCAACTTTTGATTTTTATCTTATTTCCAAGTCTTTTAATAACGCGAAAGCGAAACCATCTGGGCTACAAAAATTCCAGCAACGTGGTATTATCAAAGGAATATCTTGACCCGAGTGACGCATGTGATGAGAGGAGCAAAGGCAGAGAATCACATTAAAAAAAATTCGCAATGGAGAAAAGTTAGATCAATTGCACGTTTCGATTTTGCCAATCGGTGCTAGGCGAAAACACCAACCAAAAGAGATTTTTTGCAAAGTGATAATACCCTCTTCTCGCCCTGCTAATCCGGCTTAGAGGGTCTAAACACTTTCATTTCGTACTCATTCCCAACATTAACAATTTGTACACTTGACATAAGTTTTAAACTAAAGATACGAGGAAATTTTGGGTTTTAGCAAATTCCCACTTCGTAACTATC